CGCTCCCTATAATAATTAATAGAAGAAAATTAAATTGTTACGATTTTTACATAAATCGTAAAATATCGTTAAATGTCGTTATATGTTAAACTCTAAGGGACCTATTCTGTAACTCTTAACGATTCTAAGGATATCGTTAAATTATCGTTGCGCAGCTATTTTGCAGTATACAAAACCTACGCAATGATAATGTAACGATATCGTTGCAGTTGTTAAAAGTTACAGAATAGGCCCCTAAATGTCAATTGTAAATATTTAACTGAATACATAAACCAGTACATTTAGTATTATATTGCAAACATAAATGATTGTCAGCTAAATTACGACGTGCTTACAGTGAGACGAAATCCTCCTTCTATTAATTACCATACTAGACTCAATATTAAGGTTCGAAACGTCTGTAATTTTTATTTGAAATATATGGAATTTGCACTCGACCACTCTGTGTTTGGTTCACATTGGCTTTGCATCCATCCTATTGATTTAATCTTCCAAATTTAGAATGAAGATTAATATAAAAAAAAATAAATTTAAATATTGTATTTTATTGAAGAATTAATGTTATTTTTTTATTTTTGTGTTTTGTTTTCTAGGAGATTCTGGCTATCCATTATTGCCATATTTAATGACTCCAAAACTAAATCAACCACCAGGATCTCCAGGTGCATCATATACAGATGCTCACGCTGTAGCACGAAGCTCTGTAGAGAGAACAATAGGAGTATGGAAAGGACGCTGGAGATGTTTGCGTAAAGAAAGAGGTTTACATTATTCACCAGAATTTGCAGGTATTGTAATTTATTCTTATATTTTATTTTAAACATATTAAAATTATTGTAGAATTTATTGTTATTTTTATTTCAGCACTTAAAGTAAATGCCACTTGCGTATTGCATAATATTGTCAAACATTATAATGTTCCGGATGTTGAAATATACAGAGATGAGCAAGAAAATATTGAAGCAGAAGACAATATGCATGCAGATATGCGTGCAAGAGGAAATATAGTGCGAGAAACAATAATTGAAAGATATTTTACATAGAAAACTTAATTTTATTTTATATTTTATGTATTACACAATAAAAATAAGTATCACAGTTTTATACATAGTTTCAGTTAATCTATATTATATAACTCAAGTAAACAAAATAAAATAATCTAACTTAAACAAACTTAATGATTTCTCTTAATTTTTTCTACTGTCCTCTCATATCCTATTTTAGTAACTCAAAAACATCACAGATCATTATAACCATGTACCACTTGATCTTAAATAAATGTACATAAAACACACGTTTATAATTTTGTATACATATATAATAATGTTATATTTAGGAAGATCATCATATAATTTCACAAAGAAAATGAAAGCTATTGCTGCCTTTGTCAGTAAAAAATTGCTTGTTTGCAAGTAGAGCATTAAATGAAAAAATACTAGGGACATTTAAAAAAATCCTTAATGTGCAGGATATTGTATATAATTTATTACAATATTAATATTATCAAATCAGAAAACTTTTTGATAACAGTTCGAAAAGATCACTTAAAATTGAAAAAATTAATTTTACATTTTGAAAAAGTCATATGTAACAGATACTTACATACTTTATTATCATTAAGGCAACAAGAATTTGAGTTTTAATTTTTTATCTAATTATTGACAGTATCCAAATTTGTAACAAATTATATATTCTCATCCTGTATGATAATAATAGTGTATACCTTCAACTAGTATATGTTAATCTTCCTATCATATTTAATACAGTGTCTTCTATACTTTCATTAATTATTTCATTCATTACTTTCTGTATTTTATTAATTAATTATTACTTCATTAATTACTTTCTGTACTTTCATTTGGTTTCAGTTAATCCGTATTATGTAACTCAAATAAACAAAATAAAATAATCAAACTTAAACAAACTTAATAATTTCTCGCGTCAAAAAAAATTATATAAATATGTTTAAATTGTATTGCAAAAAAACCATTTAGTATGAATTGTTTGTTGATATTTTAAATACTATTTTTTATATTAAAGTCTCATTATTACTCCATGATGTCAAAGCTGTTTTTATCTTTATTAATTCGCATAAAATATTCTTTTGTACATGTAATTTCTTTTTCTTAAGCTTCATTTCCCTTTTTTTTAATTTTAGTTTTCTTTCTTGTATTTCTAACATATTAGACGACATTGTTTGCATTGAATTTCCTAGAATTGAAAAAGCGAATGTCTTATTAGAAAATTTCTTATTAAAATGTATTAGTAAGATACATATTAATAATAAAATATAAGATTATTTTTATTACATTAATTACCTCTTATTGTATTCTTTCTATTTTCACTTGTATAAACTTTTCTTCGTTTTTCTGTGTCATTATGTAGTGGTATATTTTCAATGTCTTCTATAGCGTTCTCTTGATTTCCATTATCTTCTTCAATTACTATGCATATATCTTGTTCTGCTCTTTCAGTTTCCACAACTTCTATACTTTCTGAAATAGGATTTTCTTCAGTATTAATTCCACCTTCTGGAATATTTTCTAATCCAGCTGCCTCTGGTGTTAACAATTCTAAAACTTGCTCTTCAAACACTGAGAAAGCTACTTTAGGAAGTGGTTCACCACCAGTCCCTTGCATGTAATTGCGTCTTTTTGCTTCTTTTTTTAATATGTAACTTTTCATGTCTTTCCATGTCTATAAAATATATTAATAACAAGGTTACTTTTGTAATAATAAATAAATTTGTTATTTTAATGTTACAAAGTAGTTATCAAAAGTAAAATTATCTAACCTTTGCCCATTCTTTACCAGATTTTTGAGGACCTTCGATAATTGTATTGATGCCTTGTGCAACTTCATCCCACAATTTAAACTAAAAATGTTTTATTTTGTCAAATAATTATTTTTTTTTTACCGATTACTATAATACATTATATAATAAAATACTTTAAATTTACCAATTTTAATCGACTCTCGTTTTTTCTGTCTATTCTACCCCTCACTAATTCGGGATTACGTTTTAAAAAATTTAACAACATTTCTTTTTGTTTCACAGTCACATTCATTATTTTTTTTTTCTGTTGTTATAGGTTATAAGTTATAAATGTTATAGGTTATAGATTATATGGATTGCTCAGTCCATGCAATATCGCATATGTAATCGCGAAACATGAAAAGTTTGACGTGAAATCTCGATGAGTGAAAAATGAAAAGTGAAACGTGAAAAATGAAATGTGAAAAGTTTCACGTGAAAATACATGATTGACCCCC